AAATGCAGGAAAAGCGTGTTCAAAATTAGAGAGAAAGTTCTTTGTAAAAGTGGTGGTACAACAGAGACATGTGTTTTGTGAATTGTTGGTTTCTTGACGTCTCATGGTTCCATTCAAAATAAAATAAAGCAGCTCCAAACAGATGACTCATGAAAAGAGTAGAAAACGAAGGCTTTGTCAGCGAGGCAGAAGGTCACTCAAACACAAAGAGAAACGATGGCACACATTTGGGCTCAAAATATGTATGGACTCATGTTTGCAGGCTGAACAAACAAAGTGTTTAGAAACAAGTGGATCTCTGTCTTTAAGCGTAAGCCTGATGCCATTGAGGTCTTAGTGTTGTGCTATGTCATGGGACTCAGCGCTGCCCCGAGGTCACGTTGTATCTGTGAAGGGCATCGCTGATACCATCTTTTTAAACCCGCTGTGAATGCCCCCTTTCTGTGTTTGTGAAAATGTGTATGACACAGACGATTAAAATAGTAAAAGAGAAGATAGAAACTCAAAACATAAGATTTTTCCTCAAAATGCTGTGTGAGCGTCTCAATTTTAAACACCATTACTAAGTACATTATATTTAGTTATATTATATGTAAGAATTTCAGTTTTTTTTTTTGGTCCTGATGCTGTTTTATTGCCATTTGTTAGGAAAAAGAAAATGAAGAGTAATTTTAGCTCATTCTTTAATTTGAGGTACTGCCCCAGCTTCTGGATATTACAATCCTGCTCTATATGAGAATTCACTTTCTGTGGAGAGTACCTAGCTCATATGATACAGCAGTCTTCATGAATTACACTCTTTACACTTCATTTGAATAGTCTATTGAAGCTGATATTCGGCATCATTTACTCATTAGAGGATTTACAACCAGTGGATTTGCGCCTGTCCTCTTTTGCAAAAGAAAGGTTCAGAAACTTCAAGGCCTCTCAAAATGAGTGTTAATAGTAGTTAACTACTATTCTCTTTTCATCTGTATTTCATCAGATGAAAAGAGAAGTCAGAATGATTCCTTGCCTGTCAAAGTGTGTATTCCCTCTCAAAAGGCCCACACTATCAAAATCAGCTCAATGAAAGCATGCACAGCAGCAGTGCAAATATGTCATATATGTAACCTCTGTGAGTGTGAATAAAGTTTGCATGCGTTCTTGCAGTTTGGAGCAGACAGTTTCCCCTTCGCTGCAGGAATGACTGCAATAAGGATGTGATCCCATAATGTTACCAAATAAGAAGCGACTCTGCAGAGGATTTAAACTACAACATACCCTGTGATCTTTTTTGACTGACACTGTAAACATAAATGATTGACTTCAGTACTCTTCCTACTAGGAGATTTCCCTCAGGGAGTGATGGGAGGTGTTAATTGTACCCAAAACAAACCATGTGACATAATCACATATTGCATATTGCTCGATGAAAAAACATGTCCTTAATTGCATTACATTGATAAGGTCATTACAACAGTAAGATTTCAGTTACTTCCTGTCGCTCAAAGGCCCTGCGAGCAGGAAGCGTGTGGCACCAGAGCCCCGTAGGCAGATCGCTGTACGATATGTTTGTTAGCGTGTTAGCATCCTGATTAACGGCCAGTTGGTGCCCTGCTTCGGAGGTCTAATCTGGCCTTGCGCCTCACTGCACGTGCTCAATAGAGTCCGCACCCTACATCATGACATCATGTCTTTGTGTGAAATCCCGGTGCCATTCACGGGCCCACCGTAGGGCTTAGCATGCAAGCGTCCTCTATACCAACACACTGCTCTTTAAAGGGAGTCCCCTGGTCCCCCTGCTAAGTGGATACACCCTGATGCCTCCACAGAGTTTGAACATGGCTTCTACCCTCCAACCCACCGGCCCATGTGGCATCCGGGGCAAAGGAGAGCGAGTATTATGGCTTTTTTGATTGGAGGACATTTTTATATGAGAAAATATCAATGCTCCTGGATATATAGAGACTAGTTATGAACATACACACTGATGCTCCAGGACACCATGTCATTCAGAATGTAGTAAATGATTTGAGGACATTTAACAAGATGGTGCCTCACACTATTTTTTTTGCTCTAGGATTACATCATGCATTTGTAAAAAAGCTGTGGGATCAGAGAAGCTCAGTTCACCAACCAACAGAACAGAGAGCAGACATCAAGAGGTGGACTTTCTAGTTCACCAGCCCAGTGATGTCACCCAGGACAGAGAACGCTATTGGTCGAGAGGCAGTGAGGGTTGGACGCAATAAGATGGGCAGAGAGGAGATATATCCATAAAAGGAGTGATGACTTCTGGATTTATGATTGTTGATTTGAACCATTGATAGATGATACATGGTGGCCTGGAGTGTGAGGTTACCTCCATTGTACATATATATTGAACAAATAAAAGATGCTGTATTGCTTTATTTCCCTTTTTATTTATATTTAAATGTTACTATTACCTGTACATTAACTACAATAATTTAGCTTTCTTTAAACTGAATGAGGACAGTGGGTCATACCTCCTTGAACTTATATTTGTCCACTTTCACAAGTTTCCCATTGAAGGAAACTCTTGGGAGTTTGAAACAATTGTGGAACCTGGAAGTTAGCTTGTGTAATGGGAAATGAGTTGTTTGACAAATTGTGTGTTTCAGACAGCCTTGTAATCGTTAACTTCCTTCCCTTTTATTTGTGGTTTTTCAACAGTGTGGAGATAAGACGGAAAAAAAGTAAAAGTCCAAGTGCACAAAGTGTTGAAATTCATAAAGGTACACGTTATATTTATTAAATATGCACACTTTTGTTAAATTCAATTCAAATAGTATCCTATGTATTGTTTATCACTTATGTTATTATATAAATGTATAATATTCTATGTAATCGTTATAGTATTTAACTAGTTTTTATCTCGTGAAAACACATTTTGACAACCACATCTGCCTGATACAAAAAGCCAAATGTTTCATTTTAAAGTGACATTACTGTAAAAAATCAGACTAAGCAGGCTGTATAAATATTGAAGTATTCCTATAAAGGTAGCAACTTTCAATACTAAACCACCTGTCTGACCATTTTCATTTACAGTATTTTATCAGCAGAGGTTTGTCCTCAGTGGTGAGGAGATGATTAATACTTCTGTTTAAATAATTTTACCAGATGTTTTTATTGGGAAAATTGTATTTTATATCATACATATTTTTGTATGATTTTTATTATAAATGTAGTAATCCTTCCAGCCTAAATGTTTAATTTAGTTTAAAAAAAAATATATATATATATATATATATGTTTTAGACATTTCATATATTTAGATTTTTTTCAAACATAGGTGTGAAAAGAATTTAAACAAAAATAAAATTAGATGAAATATGGTAAATATGAGTCACCAGTTAAGAGTTGAACATAAAACAGTAACGACACTACCTAATACAACCCAATTGGGACCTTTTAAAATTATACACACTATTATTACACATCAGTATAAAATATGATATAAATAGACATTATCAAGCATTATGATTTTATTTAGTATAATGAGCCACAGTTATAGTAAATAACTGAGTTGAACGAAGTTTCATGTTTTTTATATACTCAGAAAAGAGTGTTCTTTAGGCTCTGCAGTAGCTCTCCTCTGTTCAAACAGCAGTGCTATGATTTTAGAGATCAAAGACTGCTGCTAGATGTTTTTCTTCCCTGAGCCGGGAAAGTTTGACCAACCTCAATAATAGGGAGGTTTCAGCGTGCGCTTTCACTCAATGGTTCACATTCTTCACATTCCAGCCAAGTGACACAGATATGATGATACACGCACACATGAACACCGAGGCGGACTCTGTTATCCACCCATTTAAAATGTTAGTTTGATAACACTACTGATTGTTAAGCGATGCTTCTCTGAAAATGAAAAATCCAGATGCTAAATGTTTAAAAGCACATCAAATGAGATACATGTATTTGTATAACAGCAAAAGCATCTAAATAGTTTAAATATGATTAAAAAAAATAAACGAGAATATATGAATATTAAAAACAGTTTGACTGCTAATTATGTTATAGCTCATCAAAGTTAAGAACTGGTATTCTTCCTTTGGCTGTTGAGGTTTACAGATCGAGAAAAACGTGTACACTGCATATCAGAAATCAAATGTGTTTCTTGAGACAGCTCAGTCTGGATCATGCTTGTATGTATTTGAGAATGGGTAAATTGAATAAATTAAATTAAATAAGAAATAGATGGCGACCACTTTGTCTTAACAAAACCAGAAAGTACTTTACACGGCTAAACATTAGAGCATTATTTTTTTTAAATCGAAAATTTAAATGACCTCCTGCTCTCTGCATTGAGTGGCTGTGTAAACAACATGTCCAAAGTAAATCCAAGAGGACATAAACTCTCCCTCCCCGGGCTGATAGTTTGTCGCTGACCTGCCTCTCTGCTCTAATGTTGGGCAGTGACTGAAGGCACATCAGCTGCTGTTGTTGTTTTATCCAATGTATCTATGCATCTACATACATATGTGTGAGGAAATGCGTGCATGGAGCTGCTCTGCAGTGGACTCGGTGGCCTGTACTGTGTCCATGTTGGTATGGGAGCCTGTGGCCTGCTCCCATACATCCCCGCTCTGGCTCTGTTGATCCTATTGTCTCCTTCGTCACCACACGTCGCCCGGCAAATAAAGGCCGTCTGGCTCCAAGCTTAAATATTGCAGCAAACTAAAAACCAACCATCAGAGCCGATTCATTCACATCTGCTCAGTGGGGCGACAAGGACGGGGCTTTAGGTGGGAAAGAGGGCAGAGCAAAGTTCACTTTTCCCTGCCGGGTGCCAAGAGAACGGGACAGGACTCAACTTCTGCCGGAGCCGCAGCTGTGGCAAGTTGCCCATTTGATTACATTGAACCTATATCATACCTTACAGAAGAAGGGACTGTTTGTCATTTATTGATCTCTTTTTATAGTTTTTTTTATTTGGCCTTTTTGGGTGGATTTTTTAAAAGAGCTAGAGCAAGCTGTTTTTTGGTTTCTCTCTTATTGCTCGAAATAGTAAATTGTGTTTACATTGATTATAAGTAGCCTTCCAAATCAATGCAACGCCTAAATGTTAATGTTTAATCGAGCTTTTGCCCAAAATACATTGTATCTAAAAAAATTGACGTGAAAACCACTTTTTAAAAGTTTAAAACTTTTTCAGTATAATAATAGAATCACGTATCGTCGAATAAAACTAAGTAAAGAGTTTGATTTGACAAGTTTGACTTTTCCTACATTCCTTACTTTTGGCCCTCTCTGTCCCCTCCCTCTCTCTGACCTGCCTGCCCCACCCTCCCTGTTTTTCTCACCCTCTGTGTCCCTTCCTACCCCACCCTTCATTCTGCAGTGCTACGGACCGATCATGGGTGACTGGAGCTTTCTGGGTAATATTTTAGAGGAAGTTAACGAGCACTCTACGGTGATCGGCCGGGTGTGGCTCACGGTGCTTTTCATCTTCCGTATCCTCATCCTGGGCACGGCGGCGGAGTTCGTGTGGGGCGATGAGCAGTCTGACTATGTCTGCAACACACAGCAGCCTGGGTGTGAGAACGTGTGCTACGACGAGGCCTTCCCCATCTCCCACATCCGCCTGTGGGTGCTGCAGATCATCTTTGTTTCCACACCGTCTCTGGTATACGTGGGTCACGCTGTGCACCATGTCCACATGGAGGAGAAACGAAAAGAGCGCGAGGAGGCAGAACTTAGCCGACAGCAGGAGCTGAGCGAGGAGCGTCTCCCTCTGGCCCCCGACCAGGGGAGTGTCCGCACCACCAAGGAGACCAGCACCAAGGGGAGCAAGAAGTTCAGGCTGGAGGGCACCCTGCTGAGGACCTACATCTGCCACATCATCTTCAAGACACTGTTCGAGGTGGGCTTCGTGGTGGGCCAGTACTTCCTGTACGGCTTCCGAATCCTGCCGCTGTACAAGTGCAGCCGCTGGCCCTGCCCCAACACGGTGGACTGCTTCGTGTCCCGCCCCACGGAGAAGACCGTCTTCATCATCTTCATGTTGGCTGTGGCCTGCGTCTCTCTCTTCCTCAACTTTGTGGAGATCAGTCACCTGGGCCTGAAGAAGATCCGCTTTGTCTTTCGCAAGCCGGCCCCGTCCCCTGCCCTAGGCGAGGGATCGGCCCCGCTGCCGCTACAAGGGAAGAGCCTGCCCCCCCTGGCTGTGCCCTCCCTGCAGAGGGCCAAAGGTTACAGGTTGCTGGAGGAGGAGAAAGTTCCCATTTCTCACCTCTACCCACTGGCTGAAGTGGGCATGGAGGCTGGCAGAGGGGCCCCACCCTTCCCGGGGTTAGAGGAGAAGGCGGAGGAGGTGGTGCCCATGAGGGTCATCTCTAAGGTGTATGACGAGACTCTGCCCTCCTACGCCCAGACCACGGAGACAGCGGGGGTGACTTTACACGAGGAAGAGGTCGAGGAGGAGCAGCCGAAAGAGGTGGATGCCGAGAGAGTGGAGAAGGTTGTGGATGAGGATGTGGAGGTAGAGGGGGTAACTCCAGCCGAGGCAGGGATGGAGGCCACGGATACGATAGAAGACACCAGACCGCTGAGCCGACTGAGCAAAGCCAGCAGCAGGGCCAGGTCAGACGATCTCACCGTATGAACCCGTGAGAGAGAGCGCATGTACACCTGCACACACCCAATGTTCAGCATAAGAGAGAGCACACACACATTAAACTCAAGACAATGCACACTCTTGAACAGGCAGGTCAAAAACCGATGGATGAAAAACATAATCAACAGGGATAGATTAAAACGTTTAGGACACTGGCATCAATTCAACAAAATCTGCGTGTTTGTGATAAAAATGAAATATAAAAAGTAGAGGTTAAAGATGGGCGGAGTAGGTTTTTTTTATTAAGTGTGTTCTTATATTTAAAAAATGTGGAAAGGACACATACAGGGGGGAAATGTTTTTACTTGATGAAAATCCATGTTCAATTTTTAGAAACATCTTTTTCTATTGAAAGAGTTTTAATCATATACGATGGAGGATTAGACATTTATTACAGGGGGTTTGAGTAGATAGGGGGGAGAGAGTTATAATATACTTGTGTGTCTGCAAATCAGTAATTTCGCTGTAGTTAGGCACTGACGTTCATTCCCATTCAGACAGCGACATACTGCAAATGCAGCACACGGCACGGTGAAAGGGCTCTCACATACACAAATAACACAATTAAGCGCCGGTACATTAACAGGTACACAGCTCTTTGGGAAGAGGAAGAAAAGTCCATTTTCAGGTTGAGAAGAGCATACCTTCTTTTGCACATTCAGAGGTTTAGACTCTGTGCAAGGCCTTTAACCCTCATAACACCTCATATGCATCCATTTACACAGGATTCTTTAAAGTGAAGAGAGATGTGCATCAACTTCAGAGCATTTCTCTCCTTTCCATGTTTATATACCAGGTAGCACAGCCAGAGCTGAGTTAGTGAGGAAAAACAACAAAAAAGACCACATGTTGAATGTCTTTTTCAATGTGATTCTGCATCTCTTCATTTTAGATTTGCTTATGTGTTGTAGCCTTTAAGTAGAACTGTGATATAAGTTGTCCATGGCAGAGAGCGGGGCTCATTTTGCCCTATCAGAGAATGAACTATAGCAGCGACCTCAGGCCAAATCCTCTCTTTTCGTTCTGTACAAACAGGCGTCCGGGCGATAAAGATCATGCAGCATCAGCACAAAGTATTGTTGGAGGCCAGACAATAAAAGAAACCGCGCTCATCAATGAAAACAAGCATCCTTGACCCGGCTGTGAAAAAAAATCTTTCTACTTGGTTTTAAGTGAACATAGCAGGTTTTACCCCACAAGAAAATAACAAAACTGATGACATGCTTTCCAAATCAAAGAAAAACAAACAAATAGGGGCAACTCCCTCTGTACATAACGCCCCATCCTATGTCTGATCATGTACATAACAACAGCTGTTTTCAGTTGTCAATTTTTAGAGGAATCACACAAGTTATAATTGTGATTACAATATTTATTTAATCTTACAACCCTTGAAAAATCCCACGCTGTGGTGTCATGCATTTATCTGAGTAAAGATTAATTTATTTTCAAATCATTGGCAAGTGCTTTAATACAAAAAGTGTTAAGCTTTAAAATATGCCTTAGGTTTATCACCAATCTTACGTTCACATTCTCTGGCTTTGTTTATTCAAACAGCTGCCACTGTATGATTTACTGTGCCTTATCTGTAAATGTAAATTCTCTAATGTTGTAAGATTGTAGCAAGTGCTTATTTTGCTCTGGGACCTCTGTGAATTTTATGTTTTATTTGCTTTTTTTATTTTCTATTTTAGTTCAATTTTGTATACACCCCCATTAGCACACACATTAAACATGACTTCATTATGCAGCAAAGTAGGCTATTTAAAGTATTGACATTTTAGGCATACAGGTGCATGTTAGCGGACATGAACACATTCACACAGGAAAGTCTTACACGCATACCTTTGTGTGCACAGACACAGACACTGTTGGTTTTGGGGGTATGATCAAATGGCTCTAAAGAAACTCAGAGAGAAGGCAGCTTTGACCCCATTGTGACCCCCAACCATCGTTTTGCTTGCTTCCCATGATCCAATGCTGTGAAATCAAAAAGAGCCTTTGAAGAATCACCAAATTGTTGTTAAACACATTTAAACATTTAACAGTTAGAGCATCATGCTGGTCCTTGTGTACGATCGATATCACTGGTAATGTATGATTTTTTGTATTGTAAGACTGTTGCATTGCCTGTATGTTTGTAAGAAGACATGATTAATCTTTGAAAAGAACAAAAAAAACTTTTTACTAACTTGTAGTCTTCTTTGCTGATAGATGTGTGGCAGTATCTTTTTTGGAATGTGAACCAACGCAATAAAAAGTCACACGTGGTCAAGAAGTGTTGTGTTGTGTTGTTTCTCAGCAAAGTTAACTCAAACACACATGCATCGCTCACATGCACACACACCACACACACACACACACACCACACACACACACACACACACACACACACACACACACACCCACACACACACACAACACACACACACACACACACACACACACACACACACACACACACACATAATAATGCAGAACTAGACTTATAATTAACACAAGGAAGTAACAATGCTGTATAGTCATGGGGTTTTGAACGGTGGCTTTATTAAAGATTGGTAGGAAGAAACATTTATAGGCATTTGCACACAACTCCATGGCAGTTTAGACTTTTTAGTTTTTAATCCATGCACACACTCATACACACATACACACAGTGTCCAAAAGTCTATATATTTGTTAAAAGAAGCACCAAGATCTTTAAGTTATGTGAAACACACAGTGTACATATACTTTGTTGGAAGAAAAAAGTAAAAATGTGTGCAGAGAAATAGCATCAAAATGTGCTTGGAGTACCAAAAGTAGTAATACATCATAATTCTTGGTGCATTATTGTGTAAGCATCATTAATATTGCATTAGTTATACTTTTAGGTAAACTCTGTATTAATACATATTAATAATCTCATGTTATCTAAACCTAAAATAATGCATGTTAGGTGTTGTGATTGTATTTTGATGAATTATCAGGTAACTAAAGCAGTCACATACATTTAGTGGAGTATTGGTAGCAGTAGTATACAGGAGTAGTAGTATAAAGTACATAACATAATTCAAATAAATTACCTGATAATTCTAACTAAGTACTCAGTTAATTACTTGAGTAAATGTACTCAGTTACCTTCCAGCACAGACTTCTACTCAACTGTAGCTCTCTAAAGATGTTGCTATTAACTAGTTTGGTTTTAGGAAATGAGCACACTGATATTATTTAGTCACAGACAGAAATGATAACATGACAGACGAGCAGTGGTGTAAAGTAACTAAGTACATTGTACTCAAGTACTGTACTTGAGTACAATGTTGAGGTAGCCGTACATGTCTTGAGTATTTTAATGTTGTTTCTACTTCTACCCTCCTACAATTCAGAGGTAAATATTGTACTTTTACTCCACTATATCTATTTAATAGCTTTAGTTATTTTACAGATTTGGATTAATGATGGGAAATATAATCAACATTAAAAATAAGACTTTAGTTTCACCTGGAGTAAATCCACAAGCTACTCTGCAGTATACAAAGTCATTAAAACTAGCTGCACCTTTACCAGCTTTGATAACACTTTAATGATCAATAATTATAATCAAAACGTATCATATATATTATTCTGAAATGGGCCAATCTGCATAATGAGTACTTTTACTTTTGGTAATTGGTAGTATATTTTGATGCTAATACTTTTGTACTTTTCCTTGAGTAACCTCTTGAATGCAGGACTTTTACTTGTAACAGAGCATTCCTACACTCTGGTACTTTTACTTTTACTTAAGGGCATTTCCATTTGATCTAATCTGCATGTCTTTGGACTGTGGGAGAAATCTAATGTAAGCAAAGGGAGAGCGTTTATCACACTTTGGATTTGTAACAGCGATAACGCATGCTCCACCGGGACTAAAAGTAAAAAAAATAAGAGCATAGAGGTTTATTTTCGCCTATCGCCACTATGGGGCAGCACTGTGAAACATATTTATATTCCTAGACGAGTCATTCTCGGCTGGTTTAAAAGTTACCGTTTTTCTCTGAATGCTTGAGCACTACTGGAATACTTGAAGCTCTATCTCTGAAAACATTTAAACTTGTCGCCATGACATTTATCAAGTGCGTCACATCAGGCACGTTATCTGCTCTACACAGAGTTTGCATAGTAATACACTTAAAGCTGTTACCATTAGACTGTCTTTGCTACACTATCTGCCAATTGCACATTCCAAAACACTATAAACATGCAAAAATAAACAACTAAACATGTTATTTAGGCACCAATGAAAACCAATATCTATTGCCCTTTTGGTGTTTTATTGATAGTGTATTATGTTTGGAATACACATCTATACTCTGCAAATGTGGACACCTGTGTGTGTATTTGAGTTCACAATATGTAGCAAACTGCTTGGCCCGGCACACAGGAAAAGCAAAAGCCACAAGCAACTGCCACATGTAAACTACTGTTGGTGCTTCCTGGGCTTTTTCAAATGATGGATCGTGTGCTCTTTATCGACGCAAAAACACAAAAGAGTTAGGGGAATAGTTTGCTTTTAAGAATGTAGAGTTTTCCTCAAGTAGTCTACTCAGAAAAGAAATAGAGCACACAGCGACAAAATAAGATCTAAGCTTTGGGTTATTTTTGTTTCTGGCCGAGCGACAAGTTAAACCCCGTGATCACTGCCCTCTAATCTTTGGTTTGACGCAGCCTTTTTCTTCAAGATTGAGCCTTCAGCAAACTAAATATATTGCTGGAATGTGTCAACTATTGAGTTAATGGAAATTAGCAAAAATGTTAAAACACACTTCACTATGCATGGCCGGAGCACCATCTAAGGTCATTAATGTGAGAGGCCTCTCAAGGTGTGTTTTGGAGTTTTCACTCAGTCAACCACAAACTTCTGCTGAAGTCATTTCTGAGAAAAGCCTTTGAACCAACATGTTCTCCATCACCCGCAGGGAACTTTAGGCTGGCATGATAAATCACTTAGAGATATCAGCTTCTAAAGGGACACACATATCTATTTATTTTCTTGTCAAACTAGGGTTGAAAGTTCAGTATATTTCATGTGTATCGGACAATGAAGTGCTGTGCGGTCCATTGGGAGGGAGAAAACATCTTATTTTCACTGTTCCTTTGTCAAGTAGTAGTAATCAAGTAGTAGCTAAGATTTAACCAAATGAAATCACCATATTATCCAAATTCCATTCCTTATGTAACAAATGTGTCTTGGATAGATTTATAACTTGAATTCTAAAGTAAAGGCAACACAACATTTTAATAGTTGTTCAATAGGTTTTTTTTAAAATGTATTTGTATTAATGTAAAAAACATTCTTGTACATTTCCTTTTTAAACAGGTTTACTTTTGACATCACGATGGCTGACTCATTATTTCCAGTTAGAGGAACACATGATGGTGACAGATTAAAGTGTATAAACAGGATGTAGTAATAAACACTGGTTGATAACAGACCCTTCACTTGTTTCACTGCTGCATGGGAGTATGTGAAAGACCATCCATTCAATAAAAGAGGACTTTGGAGTACTGTGCAAGTGGAAGGATATCGTGATGGTAAACAGACTGAATCAAGACTACAGGCTATCATTATTCACAATGAAAGGGATCCTTTGAGTTTCTTCTTGAGCTGAGTGGGTGTGTCAAATAAGGAACTTCAGCAGGCCAGCTGCTTGGATACATTTACATTACGAAAAAAAAAAACATGGTGATTCACGGCTGTAATCGCATTTTAAGGGACTGGGTGTCAGCCTGTTGTGACTTGGGTTGTTGACTTCACTGTGGCCTCTCCTGCTTAAGAGTGTCCTGCAGAAACCCCAGACAACCTTGGGCAGAGAGCATTACGGTGGAGTGGTGACTTCTGCACATCAGCTTTTAAAGGGGACCTATCATGCAAAATGCACGTTTTGATGTATTTTATACATACATACTGTATGTGTCCCCGGTGTATCAGGGAACTCACGCAGCGTCTGAAAACAAACCCTCTCTCTTTTCCTCCGTACCCAAATCTCTAAAAACGGGGGTACAACGGAGCTGATCCAGATTTGCGTCCGACATGACTTAATATCGGCAATGTGGACCCACGGCACTATCAGAAACAATGCCCGACGTGTATTTGAAGTAATATGGCCTTTGTTTACATTAGCAAGCATCGCTAACACACAGAGCTAACCTGTACTGGAGAGAGTATGTGTAAGAAGCAGGAAATAAAAAAAGGAACTCACCTTGTGGTAAACCCGCAAGAGAAAAAGCATTTCAGATCCATACTGTTTCAGAAATAATCCTTGATGTGGTTTGGAACATGATATGGCATTTAATCACGGTAGCATTGAGCTGAATCTCTGGTAGAATTCTGAGCGGGCATTAGCTCCCCCTCCTCTTTTTTTTTCTTTCAAGCTAAGGACCCCAAACCTGCAGTTCTCTAACAGGCCTGAAATAGAGGGATATGAGGGATGTCTAAAATGCATGATCTGTTTGGTATTTTGAGCAAAACACATCATAGACATGTTTTTTTATAGATTTTTATATATCTGAGACCCATAATATATACTCCACAACAAGCTTTGAGAGAGAGCTACAGTATACATTTCAAAATGAAAATGCAAACTGTCATTTCTGTTTCATTTTCATTTTATGAGCTGATATGATGATATCAATTCAAACGAAAACCACTTAGTTTGCATTTTCAATGTCGACAGTGTCCGCAATCATGAAGATGTACTTTTATAAATGTGTTGCTTTTTGGATGTAAAAGAAAAGGAACCTATACAATGTGACCTTTAGTGTCTATCACTCATGAGCAGGGGTGGACAGAGTAGATATTTTACTTACATTTTAAGGTAAAAGTATTGTAAAAGTACTGTGTTACAAGTTACAGTCCTGTATTCACACTTAAGATCATTCAAGTATTGAAAAGTATAAGCACCAAAAGTAAAAGTACTCATTATTCAGAATTGTCAATTTCAGAAACATATCATTTTTACTGGATTATAATTATTCACAATTAATGTGTTCATCACTTTAGTTGGTAAAGGCTGAACTTATTACATTTAGTAACTAAACCAAAATAACTAAAGGTATGAAATAGAATTATTGGAGTAAACAAAAGTACACTTTTCCCTCTAAATTGTAGTGAAATTAAAGTATAAAATGTAGCCCTCAAAGCTGTACTTAAACTTCAGCGAATGTACTTAAATACATCCTCCCCCATATCCTGTAATACATTGTCTTTGAAAATAAAGGCTCATAAGGTGCTCTTCAACCTCAGACACACTTGTGTCAGTCAGCACGGCCACAGCCATTACTTCCTGTGCGGAAACTATTTCTGGTGTGTAGGAGGCCGGGCCAGGTTTAAACCTGACTGCACGACAGCTACACCGTCATACAGACACATTTGAGTTCCTTTTATTTTCATATGAATATAGTTTACTATTTGTTGCCTTCGTAGCCTTCAGATGTAGATACTCACTACCGGTAAGTCAGTAGTTACTTTACAGGACGTTTGATTCTTACCAGCAGTCTAATCTATTATAAAAAATGTAACCCCTGTATTATTTTGACACTGTAACACAAATTGGCTTATTATTTTTATTTAGTTTGCCTGTCTGTGATGTATTGATTTGAATTGTTACCTCTTTTGGCCAGAGCACTTACAGTAGGAAACGTTTTGTAATGTCAGCGAGGTATACTTTTCTACATACAGCAATAGGCAACATACCATTGGTTATATTTCCACATTACATACACATTAACATGATGTTAACAGTGAAATTATCTTTGTTTTAAGGTGTGATGGAGGATTTTTCTAAATATTTGGGTATCAACTGGACCTTTTTTCTGACTTGTTGCATGTTCTGGATTTTCTCACCAGCAGGTAAAAATCCCTTACAACACCCTCGCGCTGACTTTTTGAATAGTACAGGAATAGTTTGAAATGGTTTAAAGTGTCTTTATTAGATCTATACCAATTCTATGTTTGTACATGTATCTCTTGGCAATAAAATGAATTAACATATGTACCTAAATATACCCACAATATTGCTCACACGGTTCGAGTAAACATATAATCATTCATCTACATTCGATGATGTTCACAGAAGGAAACAACATCTCGAGGGAGGTGGGCAGCCCAGCGATCCTGCACTGTAACATCATTTCAAACAGCACGCTCAATCAGCTGACATGGAAGATGAACACAGTGCTCATTTTCAGTTTCAGGCCAAAGGAAAGTTTACACAAGAGTGAAGAAGCTAAACGACTGAACATTAATATGTCAGAGAGCCGCCCGTACGCCCTGGTCATAGAAAGAGTCCAGAAATCTCACGAAGGGAACTACACCTGTGAGATCAGCACGGTGTTGGGAGTTGACGAATGTAAATGGGAGCTGAAAATCACTGGTGAGCTAATACGTCTTAAATTATAAGGACATACTGTATAAGTAACCCTTAAGGAAAGAGCAAAGGAAATAGGATGTAAACAGGAACAGGGGGAATGTTGGATTTTAAACCGAGACAACCATTGTATGCTACTGCTACTAGATAGAGTTTCTTTTACACATTTTCTGAGATTGTCGATTTTAAAGTATAACTCCGTCAATGCACACAATATTAGTAATGTAATGTCATGAGTCGCAACCACAGCCTCAACTTCCTTTATGAAACAATGATGCCACACACACAGAATCACCCTGTCTTTCCATTGAGCTAAATGTAACTGCATATCAGACTCATAATAACTTTAAAACTGTTTTTATTCCCCCAGAGGAAGCGGTACCTGGAAATCTAAACAAGCTGATGATTGTTGCGGCAGTTGTTGTCCCTTGTGTGTGTTGCTTGATTTTGATACTGGCTTTAATCATTCTGTATCGATGTCATAAACAACATGCAGAGTAAGTTGCATCCAGTACTTATTTATTTAACATCTTATAACGTACACACACATATTTGGGGTTAATGGCATTATACTCCAACACATAAACAAAATGTCTTTCTCTTTCAGGAACTGTTCTCGCACCTCAGAAATGGTAAATTATTTGTCATTAGGATGATTCACTGTTATGTAATACGTTTTGCAGAGATGGCACCAGTTGTACTGGAAGACAAAACGTAAATGACTTTGGTCCTTTTTTTCTTTAACAGCAGCCAGAAGAAGTTATTTATGAAAACTGTCTGGAAAATGATGTCATACGACAACAACATGGCTATATTCAGCCTCTCCCTTTCACTAGGTCTAGACGAGGAGGGGTTCAGTACTGAGCAGGTAGAGGATCGTCTATTTGTTGAGTCTTTTTGTTGAAAACATATGCCTTGTGGCTGTTTCTCTAAATGAAGGCAGAAGATGAAAACAATGTGCCAGAAGACGCTACAGCACTGTGGATCCGAGGGAAACAACACCTTCTACCCTTCCTTTTTTTTTGGTTTACCTTTATTTAACCAGAATTGGTCTCATTGAGATTAAAAATCTATTTTACAAGAGAGTCCTGGCCCAAGAATGGTTACAGCACAGTTACAGACCATTTTAAAACACACAATCACAACACAGTCATACACCAAGTTTATCCAAAGCATTTACAGACACAGCGGCCTGCTTCAAGGTCAGTCAGTAGCTTGTAGTCTGTTTAAACCAGCTCTCTGAGTTTCAGCTCAGTTTGAAGCTGGTTCCATGCTTCAGGAGTAGCGTAACTGAACGCCCTCTTCCCCAGTTCACAATCAGATTTAGGGGAACCAAATTAGGGAATGCCTGTCAGAATAGCGTACCTGTATTAAGTGTTACAAAAACCACAGAAAAAAACTATTTATCTACTTTTTGTAACAGTTGTTCACTATGTATAACCATAATATATACACATACATGTCCTTCTTTTTATACATTTGTGTTATATGTTAATATAATATGCTGTTGTTATGGTTTGCCATCAGTATTGAATTCCTAATATTTCTTGTATATTAATCTTGTGTTGTCTATAAAATTGTGAATTCTAACATTATTTAGGGCGAGGCTTAAAAAAAAAAGCCCACTGGGTTTTCTGCCTTTGCCTGTACTGTATATTATTTAACTGTTATGTTAACATTTTGAATGTAGTTCATTAAAGGTACATTGCTACCAAAAAGACTATGAGGAGTTCAGCAGATAGATGTGAATACAAAGAAAACTGTTGAAAAAAAAATGATTGATGAGGATATCAAAGGGAGTCCTGAAGAGCAGCTAAGCTTCAACAGCTCACACACATATCCCATGAAGCTTAGATTCTCTGTACGCTTCTGTAGATAATGGTAGTAAAGCTTAAGGGAGTTTACCAGTCATGTGATACTGCGACCATAAGATCACCATGCGCGACTCAATGGCGTCTTTTATTACCATGTCTGGCTCTTTAATAACCATTTATAGGAAACGCCCAAATTCCAGGCTTTTAATTAAAGTTATTAAAAGTCGCCTCTGAGTTTTTTTCTTGTACTGGGTCCCAGTTTGGTTTCTCCTGCACAGCACCACAACAACACAAAGTAACACCTTGAATTTTGCACATTCACATCCTGCCACTGGTTTCCTTTGTTCTGTCGTTGACAGCTGGAGGCGGTAATGTGTTGAATAAATAACTGAATTGGAAGACTGTTAGCAAGTCAGCATGGAGTATTAAAATAAAGTAAAAAATGAGCTTTGAAAATTACTATTGAAATAATGTGAGTGACACGATCAATGTTCATGCAGTTATTGTAATAACATTGTAAAAATATGAATCTCTGCTTTAAGAGTTTTAATTTATTTTCGTACCACAGTGTCACACTTATTGAAATGGAAGGGGACCTATTGTGCACAATCCAGTTGTTCATGTCTTTTATACATAAACATGTGTCTCCTCTGTGTAAAGAGATTCTGAAAGTTTCAGGAAAAAAGATTCTCTCTCTTTTTGTCCTGATCCATTTATATAAAAATCTGTCTGAAAATGAGCTGATCAGATTTTGGCCACTTTATGTCATAACGATGTTTTGGCTTGTGTAACCATTAGCCAATAACCAGCCAAGGTAACTATTGTGTTATTTTTAACCAAATATCTCTCAGAGGGGCGTGGCACCTTATTTTCATCTAAAGTAAAAGATAGAGAATCAGCACTTTTGAAACAGGGCTGAAACAGAGGGGTTTATGGGATGCTGCAATCAGGGTAGGAATTTCACGGCGGCTATGCAACCCTGTCTCCTAAAAATTACGTTCCTACAGAACTAAACTGCATTCTGAATTACGTTTAGCTAGGAACGTATTTACTCCCACGTTACGTTCGTTATGAACGTATCTCAAATACGTTTATTTTCTACATATCTTCTAATCTAGAAACATATTTTCTCCCACGTTACGTTTCTTATGAACGTATCTTAAATACGTTTATTTTCTACATCAAATCACTAGTAGCACCAAAGTCCCAACTTGTAAGCTTTTTGATGAACTAGTGGCCCCCTGACCGTACTAGTGACACTAAAAGTCTTACAAGTTAACTAGTGTGCTGCAAAAGCTCTGACATGTTAACTAGTTACAGTACAAAAAATAAGCAGAACTAGTTAAAGGTGGGGTAGGTCATTTTGGAGAAACCAGCTCGAGTGCGCTAGAATTGGAAAATACACAGCCGGAAAAAATCTGCCACTTTCTTACAGAGCCCCTCCTCCAACACACACAAATGCGCACATGACCAATGAGGGCACGAGATAAGTTTGTGCACAGATGGAAGGCTGACAGGCAGGTAGGCCATCCAGTTATTTTAGCCGGGCCGGCTAAAATGATTGGTCGTGCTTTTTACAGCGCTACGGCTTCCACAAATGACATTTTATGGGTTTTTTTGTCAAAGCACTTAAGATATTCATTGCTATCGGGATGTTAAGAGCATTCCATGGAATATAACAAAAAGTGTATCTCGAGCCGGTTTCTCAAACTTACCTACCCCACCTTTAACTAGTGGCATACATTTTTCTGCACTAGTTAACTAGTACTACCCAGAATCACTCACTAGTTAACTAGTACATGCAAAAGGTTCACTAGTTAACGCCTCTTTTGACCTTACTAGTTAACTAGTGGGGCTCAAAATGTCTACACGTTAACTAGTGAAGCCTTTGCCCTTTACTAGTTAACTAGTGAGATACATTGAAAGTCAACTAGTGAACTAGTGAGGCTTAAAATGTTCACTAGTAGTACTAGTGGGTCTCAAATGCGCACTAGTCACACTAGAATGCACAGAATGCTAATGAGGAGGAGGGGAAAGAATGCACCGAGGTCTCCTATTGGCCCTAAGCTGTATAGAGCCAAGCCTGGCTGCAATGCATGATCTGTTTGGTATTTCGAGCAAAACACTTCAGAGACATGTTTTTGTATATATCTGAGACCTATGATGAAAAACAGTATAATAGGGGACCTTGTGCTTTTTAGGAATAGAAAAGTTCCTTTGTATGAGACTTACACAGAGTCAGAGCTAAATAAAGCAACTACTTCCAGTGAAAAACCAAGGGAGCTTCTGTTTCTAAAGGAGTGGCTCCGCACATTCCTCTCTCCCACCAGGGAGCTGCAGTCTGTTCAGCTACTCTGTCTAGACTGCAGCGGTATTTAACTGTACACTGTATCCCAACACTGTGTACCCACTAAATACAGAAATACTCGAGGGATTTGTAAAGTTTATTTCCATACAGGTTGAAAGAAAAGTATATGACACTCTGAACATTGACTTAACGCAAAACAGATAATGGTAAACAGCAAATGATCAAAATATTTGGATCCAACACTTTTATTAACTACTTCTAATGTTACTGCACAATAACAAACAAATCTAAAAATATTAAAGGAATGTGAATCACAAACAGCAACTGAAATAGTAAAATCTGCATAAAACGTAAAGCCGATATTCTATAATGAGAAGGAAAAGGGAAATAGCTGCCTTAGTACACCAAAATTATACTTGTATTTGCAGACACGATACTGCAACCCCCCACCCCCACCCCCAAAACAAAACTTCTCATAATGAACATATCGATCATCATAAATAACTTGACCAACGAACATAGCTATAGTTTACGCTCATACTAATGGCGGGCAGAGTGCATTCATTTAGTGGCTTAATTATATACTTCATATTTTTATTTAATAAAGGTTTCCGTATTTTAATGTCTTTGACACGGTTCAGATGTATTTCTTACAAAATACAAAACATTTTTGATTTACGCACGAATAATTTACATTTTCAATTGAAATAAGAGTGAATATGTGTGCAAGAAATAGGGGGAATTAAGTAGATCGGATTTATTGTTCCTCCCCTCCAAAACAAATAAAAAAATGTCTGTCAAAATAAGCGCTGTGTAGCAGAATTTGGGGAATAAGGAACAATCTAAATAACCCATAACCCAGACACTCAGGATAAACATATTAAAAACACACGTGTAACTACAACGAAGAAGGATATATTTAACTAAACATGAGTAAAATCGTGGACTATTAATCTAAGGACGAAAACTAGTCTAAAATGAAATCTAGGAATGTTTTTTTTGTCACTCGAGTGTGAGAAATACCATGAGCTTGGTATTGTGTGAAATGTGTGGACAGCTATTTGATTAATTTAAATACAAATAACATTGGCATAGATATTAAAAAATCCCCAGGAGATGAAGCCTTAAGGACTTTCTATGTTTGTAACAGATAGGTATTAATAGAACAATAAGATATCGCTACATCCGCTGCACACAGGATGTAGGCCAAAGGTTATCATTTTAAGATGGAGAACAAGACGGAGGATAAATCAGAGGCCGGTTCATGTATGTCCCTTGGACTACTTTTATGTAAAGGAATTTTGTAACTTTTAAAATCTTAACTAAGGAATTTTTTTTTTTTAAACTTAACATAACCTGTACAACCCAAGTAACCTCCCATTATGATGTATGCCAACATGATGGCTTTAATGATTTCACTAAGAGCCAATCAAACACTTTATACTTTGTTTAACTGATAATTATCAAATATATTTAGGAGATGAAGATGCAGTCCAACTTTATAAATAATATAATAATATTTTTCTACGGTTTTCGCAAGTCAGCTCTTCATTTTGACCTTCACTGAACTTAAAACATCATTCATTCCTTTTTTGCTGACTTTGGGGTCTTTCTGTTTTAAGCTTGTTTACCCATAACATTGGAGGATGCTATACACCTATTCAAAGATAACAAAGAGCTTGGCTGACTTAAACACAACTAAAACATTGTCAGAGCGACAGTTTCAAAGCAGAGCAAATGTTTTAGCACTCAGTAGATAATCGTAGTAGTCAACAATTCCATGAAATGTGATGGTGCTTAGAAGTTCAGCAGCTCACAGATAAGGCTGTGTTTAATGTGATAGCGGCTTCAGAGCATTGATCCAATCGATCTTGAGCAGATAAATAAAATGTTTACGCTAGGCGTTGGTTCAAATAAAATCAGGGGTTTAGAAAGGAACATGTTCTTTTGTAACATCTCAACACTGACGGTATTCTCTTACATACTGTACGCATTTGGTATAAGGAAAACGCATCATTAAATACACTGTGTGTGAGGAAAGATTGGTCTGTCAGTTATCTGGCAACATTGTAAACACAAAAACAACACATCAAGTCCAGCTTAGTAAAACATTTTAAATAAATCAAGAAATAGTATTGAAATTTCTCAGCAATATTTTGTTTGGCCTGTTAGGTTGTATCTTGTGTGGTTGTAAACACTCTTTACAATCCTCTGCTTTGAGCAACAGTGAAACGAACAGTGTGAAGGATTAAGGGGGATCCAATAGGAGAAATTGATTATAGTATCCAAGTTCTCATTGGTGTAACCTGAAATTAAGAACTGTTTTTTGTTTGCCTAGAATGAGCCTCTTATGAGTCCGTCATTTCTCTACAGTGGCCCAGAACAGATGCAACAAACTCTGCCCGTAGAGAGCCTTCATTCTTTGTATATCAACTGAGAGCCACTGTAGATTGTGAAAGCTATGTGTAGTATCCAGGGTAGCTTAGCTGTTAGCGTTTGTCGATTAGTAGCAGCTGTGTTTCCTACAGCCTTTGCAGTTATTAATTAATACCACGTTAAAAGTTAGCTTTTTGTTTCCCTTTTTGTGTACTATTCAATACTTTGTATAATCTTAGACTCTCTTTTGGAGTTCTCTTTCTGTTGGTTGTTGTCAACCGGTATTTTGGCCCTTTGTACTTTGTGCCAGGCTGTATGCCTTTATTATTTTGTTACCACTATTATATATAAATAAATACCTATAATTATACCAATTCCACACTGGTGTATGTTGTTTCTCTCTACCCCTAGAGAGGGGCGTAACGGGGAGAAAACCAGAAGGGAAGTATCGTGGCAGTTACAGCAATTACTGATAGTGCAGCCTATCAAGATTAAAGCCAGTTCTCAGGTAACACTGATGCAAGATGCTCGCGTTAATCGGTCATGCAAACTTTCCATTTCAGTCAGCCATAGACAGTAAACATTCATTGAAGCTTCCACTTTTTAGCTTGAAAAATACTTTCACTAAATACATTCCCCATGTCACTTCTTCTTTTGGGAAAAACTTCATCTATTTGTTTAGAAATAAACCAAATATAATTGTAAAGGCTGTTATCATAGGACATTACAATACAAAGCACCTGGACAGCAGCACCTGCTCTAACAGCTGAGTCAGGAGGGAAACATGCCGAGGAGAGTCCATCTGCACTCCACCCTGCTACTCCCATGGACTTCAGGAAGCTCCCTGTGGCAGACAATACAAAACATTTAAGTGAAGAAGCACTTTTTAAATGAGTATGCCAACAGTGTAAATGTATTTTATAAAAGAGCATCTAAAAAAGAGAAAAAAAACACATGTAACACTTTAAACACTAACCGCATTAAAAAAAGGTTAGATAGTTGTTTTTGAGGAACGCAGATTTCACAAAATTAAATTGAACAAATTACCTATTATACATACTTTATTGACTGGATTCTTATAAAACTTGCTCCTCTTCAGGTGAATTCGTTGAGACCGGCTGCCTGTCTCTGCTCCTGGATAATTAACCACCAATTAATATTAAAGAACACATATACATAGTTAAACAGTAATTGCCTGTATGATTGGCAGATAAAATGTGTATTGCAGCTAAGTGTTTGTAGAACATCTGTATTTATTAGTACCATTGAATCCTTCCAGATTTGTAAAGGTACCCTGCTGCAGCCACAGCAGCGACAATCAGGATGAAGAAAAGGCTGAATAAGACCCGACAAGCAGTGCAGTTTCCTGTAGAGAGACAGACAAACGTGTATATAGAGAAACAGGAATTCAACACTGGCAGTTTATAAAAAAGCCATCTAACCAAATCTGATCCCAACTTAAAGCCTAATATATTCTAAATGTATTTATTTTAGGCTGGGCATATCTCTGGCGGTCAAACTGATCAAGTCAGACTAGGAGCTCTGGGTTAAACTAGAGAAAACTGGAGAGGGAACATTTACTCCTCTTTCATTACAAGTATGGAAGCCCTGAAAGGGAATTAAGAAAATAAGTTTCTGGTGATCGACTTCCTAAGTCTGATCTACATAATTGTCTATCCTGTGTTTATGACCTACCGTAACAGAGTTAAAAAACAAGGTCTACATGTGAAAAAAGGTTTTGCCATGTGATTTTTTCCTGTTGAATAATTGTTTGCTAGTCAGCCTCTTGTGGCCTAAATTGTTATTATAATATCAAGCAAAACATTTTTGCCACACAGATTACTGTTTAAACTTAGTAACAGTACCCATATTTATCTATGTTTTCCAGCTGTTTTTAGGTCATAAACACAGGAGAAAAAGCTATTTAGATCAAACTTATAAAATAAAATGAATAGAAATGTGTTTTTCCTCAGTGTATAGCACCAAATAGCAACTCATCTACTGTCACTTTTCACATTGAACATGTGCTCTTTTATCAAAGAAACTAAACGCTTTCATTTTAAGTTGTGAGTTTAGTGTTTTTGACCCTAAGAAACACTGATGCATTAATCAATAACAATAATCCACAGCTCTTCTCTCTGCTCTAGAGGATTTAAAAAATATATATCTATCCCAACTCTCCCCCGCCTACCACAATGAGACACAATGAGACCTTCATAATGTTTTTAACAGTCGGACAGACATTCTTGGAGATAGACTGAGCACTTCTCCAGACATCATTTCATTTCTTCATTTCATTTTTTATCAACATGTTTATATCCCATCTTGTATTCATAAAGCTAGCACCTTTCAGCTGGGACACTATATTTAATTTTTCTATTTTATTTGAGAAATACTTGTGATAATAAACATTTGGCTGTTGCTTTTGCCTGATTCCTAAAAGCAGTAACTGAACGTCTACCTTGAAGATAACAGCAGTTAGGAAATAGGAAACAGATTAATTCAAAAGATAAAACTTCATGTTTCCTCAGACCTCATGATCATTTCCTGCAGTGGAGTGTTGGCTGAAAGTAAACCATATTGCATTTTCTAACTCTACAGTCTCATTCTCAGGGATGGGAGGGTGAAACGGACATGCCTTTAGCTCCTGGGCGGATACCGAAACATTCCAAAGCCCACAAACACCATTTTGTGTCCTGGTCTGACCTTTCAGGTAGTCATGGCTACAATAGCTCCACAGAGAAAGATCCAGGAGTTATCCAAGTGAATACATGCTGTGATTCAACTCCAGGACTAGCTGTATAAGCTTCTCCTTTGTACTCCATAGGTTACACTTCTAACATAAATTCATTTTCCAGCAATACATCCACAAAACAATCAAAAACAAAAACACAGAATTAAGAACAAATGCAAAAACCCAATAAAATATTTACAGACCTTACCTGAAGCCACATACACACAGAGCTGTTGTTGTTTACTTCCATGTTGGTTAGATGCTTCACACTGGTAGAGGCCATTAAGGTCAGGGGTCATTTCCTTGAGCCGTAGCACTGCACCCTCTCTGACAGCAGACTGAGGCCACGGGAGGTCGATTCTGGAGAGGGGCAGAGAGGATAACTCGTTTTCACACGATTTAAAACAACAAGTATTTTTGGTATTTAAATGACATTGGGAAATAAAATACATCAACGTATCGCCTTGCAGCTTGGCAACAACTGTAGGGAAAACAAAACATTGTTGGAATCAAACATTAACAAGATCTTACAGGTTGAAAGAGGAATAAAGTTCAATCAACATTTGTTGTTTCAGCAAGTTAGGACAAAGTAGCCTGTGAATAAACAACATAGGCTAGTGCTGGTCATCAGGGGCGCCGTAAGGGGGTGAAAAGTTAGGACGATTCTAAGGGCCCGTGACTGACAGGGGCCCCAAAAAGTAACCTTTCATCAATCATCAATAATTAACATTAATATAACGTTACATTGATAATGTACTCACCAAACTTACGATTCATTTCACTTTTTTTCTTCCAAAAGTTAATTATCCAAAGCCTCTGTACACCCCCCTCTATTTACATGTAATGGTTTGGTCCTGCCTCCAAACGCTGTGCGGCACCGCACTTTCTGGCAGAGAGTGAGAGCATGTGAGCAAGGATGCTAGTACTTAAGTTACGTGTGTACGATGTCTCAACGACTAACAAAGTCAGGCTTTCAAAAAAGAAAAGAAAGGAGAGAAAGACAAGAGAGAGGGACTAAAGGGCGACAGTATGTCACCCAGTTTTTCAAAAGAAAAGGTGGGTGTGGTCCATGAGTGGTGGAAATTAGTCTGTTAGCTAAGCTTAGTTCATTGTAAATAATAATTGTAATGTTTTGCAGACATTAAGTAGCCTACTATTAATATCTTCACAGAAAATGCTGAGGTTTTTCATTTCACTCCTCTTTTAGCTGACATTTAATAAATGTAGGTACATTTTTAGCAGCTATTCATACTAAATCAGTTGTCCCTCCCCCCTGGTACCAGGACCAACAGATCCATCTTTAGGCTCCGCACCCTGTCCCCCCATAAGGCTTTGCAGTCTTGCCATGCTGTCCATTTAAAGCCAGTTGGCTAGAAAGCTGGACTTAAAGGACTTGATCAGTGACTTTGCCTGTAAGAAGGCTAGGCGCTGGGCTCTTGGTGAGTAAGGCTGAGCAAGGGCTCGTAATAACTGTTAAAGGGCAAGGCTATGGTAACGACATTGGATCACTACACAGAAGATGCATGATGAGAAAAAGACTGAGAACAGGTAATAGGCTCTGATTTAGCGCCACCATCGGGCCTTTTCACTTCCATTTCCGTTTTGTTGTCCGTTTACACTTTAATACCCGTTTATTTTGTAGTTGGTATGTATATTTAATAAAAAAAATCTGCTGCTTATGTTATTTTTTTTGTTATAGCATTTTATAAATGATAATATTGGTGTCAATGTTCACTTTATTTTAATTTAAGAGGTCATGTATATTTAAGTTATATTTATTTTGATTCAAATTTTTTATTAAAAAGGCATGTACACCATAAAAGATGACTATTGAGGTCTATTATCAGGAATGTTAGTGGTATATCAAATAGTGAATTCTACTGCAGCAGAATGTTGCAGTAGAATTTGCAACCTGCACAGTGTTATATTTTCAACGCTCAGTGTCAGTAAATATTGTGCAGTTAGTATTGGACTACAAGATAGATGCAAGCCTGTACAGGTAGAGTTATTTAAAGCATAAATGAGTCGGTTGGGTTCTAGAGATGTGGTTACAGCAATTGTGCTTGGTTGGCGTGGCCTGGGCCTGGTGGTGGGGCCCAATGTAATATATTTTCATGGGGCCCAAAATCCCTGGCGGCGCCCCTGCTGGTCATCTACACTGCTATCTTCCTATTGTAACAACCACACTAACTTCACTGTTAGACATTCCCTAATTTAATCTACATATTTTAGGCTATACTTTAGCTACTCACCCTAAATTGTGGTTTTCCACTTATTTTTCGAGCAAGTCACTGGCCTCAAATGTTGCCTTTATAAACTTTTCAGATTTTTCTGATGGAAGATGGCCAATGTAGTTTGACGATTTAAAGGTTTATTGTCATAACACATACGCATTACGCAAACATGGTTTGATTATGTAATGTATGAAAACTTACATCGCAAGTTCCTCAACAGTGCAATTACAAGACATAAATAAGACAAATATATAAAAAAACAACAATAAAAATACAAATAGCGCAAGCTTCCAGAGGCCTGTACGACAAAGCCGGTTCAACATAACCTGGATATGTTTGAGTTACCCGGTTTACCTAATCCAAAACAAAGGCGCTCTCGCTAAGTGGTCCTAAGACGCTGGTTATCAACTCGTTAACTCAAGCCAGCTTTGCCCTATCTAGTTAGGTGCGCGTTCACATGAAAGGGGTGGTATTTGGAGCATTCAACCAATCACAAACATGGATAAGCGTACTGACAGCGCAGCGTCATACTTCCTGAATGAAAAGTGTAGAGTTATATTTGTATTTATTCATGTTAGCAAACTATGGATAAGCTTAAAATGAGAATAATTTGGGTAAAACTGTGAGCTGCATTTGGGGCCTGTTGACATGTGTTTTTGAGGACAAAGGAAGATGGGGGAAGGGGAGAGCATGTCCTGATTTGCATTCAACTTAGATCTAGCTGCAGTGTTTGTGAGGTTAAGAGAGGTCTCTTGGGTTTCTCTGGTGCTTATCAATAGTAGCAGTTAAGTGAATACTGTTCAAACAATACCTGTGTTTGTGTTTTATATTGATTTCTCTGTTTTATCCTTTCATAAATGTAAGGACTACAAATGGCTATAAACATTCTGGGCTGGTTGGAGTAAACAGGGTTTTATGGCTCTGTGGGGGAGGTGTAGGTATGCAGGCCTTGAGACCTTTTGTTGTAAAGTGAGCCTGTTTGGTTTCCTGCTGCGTTGCGTCTCCCAATGAGATGACCTGAAAAGATGACCAGCTGACCTAACACCAAACCCCTCCTTCTTACTCTGGTATATCTCCGGTGGATCCCTGGCGTTCGGCCTCTTCTTCACATGCTGCCCTCGGGTGAAAGTAGCTCTGTAGTATGCGGACTGGAGCAGGAGTAAGCCGGCATTACTCCTTAAGCATTGCAATATAACTGTAATATATCATGTTGTATTGTAATGATTGTATTGCATTGTCATATTGCCATTAAAGTAGATTATTGTTAACGGTTACTTTGTAGCTATGGATTCCTTCCTGTATTATAACCAGCTTCATAGGAACGCGCGGAGATTTGAAAAGCGGACCAGTTATCCCTCCAAATCTCTAACAAAATGGTGACCCTGACGTCTAGAGATAACGAAGCGGAGGAAGAATTCAGACGCTTTCAAACATCTCAGACAATCAGCAGGACTCTGCAACTTTGCAAATAAGGTAAGCAGACGATGAAAGTCGCCTGTCTGTAATTGGATACGCTAAAACTTTAGGATTGTCTGTGGGCGTTTCACAGTGTTTTTATAGTTTAAATGGAATATACAATGCATATTTTACTATGTTAGGAAAGTTATATACAAAACGTAAACGTGGATCGACAGGTAGACGAAAGTCCTGCGTGACGTGAAATAGAGCAGTTTGGCGCGGATCTGCAGGTGTTTATTCCTGAGTGGCGTAGAAATGGTGCAGTTTGTGTGAATGCGAGGTTTGAATCCTGCACGGCAAAACCTGAAAACTCGATATATCAGATCGAGTCGCCGTTTAAAACTGGGGTTTAAATAACAGACCAATGCTAAAGCTTAAAGCCAGAGGTCTGTTATATATTAAACCAAGGTAGAGCGTTTCCCTTTGTCTGGAAACTTCTGCTGCTGCCATCTAGTGGCTGAAAGGGGGTATCACACCCTTGAAACTTCTGCTGCTGCCATCTAGTGGATGAAAGGGGGTATCACACCCTTGAAACTTCTGCTGCTGCTGAAAGGGGGTATCACACCCTTGAAACTTATGCGAGCTTAGAGTTTAATCATTACATTGCTGGCCGGTATTGTTTGGTAAACTGGTACAAAACAATTAGGGATTGAACATTTTTTACAACGACAGCACCAGGAGATGAGTAAACTCAAGAATCTGTAGAGTGTAAATACATTGTGCAAAACACATTTTACACTCGAACTGTTTGCAAATGTAGACAATATAAATAAATGTTCAGAAAGAAGACATAGGCCTACACTTGATTCAAATTTCATTACTGTGATCCGATTGGTGTGCTCTGCAGGTTTACTATTGTTCGAAGTAACAGTGGGATTTAAAATGAGAGAAGATATGGAGATGTTCTTTCATAGTGTGTGGAATATGTGATGCTGGAAACATGTAAGTATTTCAGAGTTGTGTTGGGTAAATATGTAGCAATGGATGAAACAATTTTTGGAGTGAGTTTTTGTAATATCATAAGTAGACATTAATTATGTTGTTTAGATGGCATTTAACAACTAAGACAGATAGTATGATTAGAAAGAGACAGAGTGGAAAGGGTTAGATTTATTTAACATCAGTGTACTAGACTTCTTATAGGTAATGTGTACCGGGACCTGGACTCCCCCTCTGAGTTAGAAAGGCTTTGATCCCGACCCTCCAAGCAGACAACGAGACCTAACCCAACAGGAGACTCCTCCTTCTCCATCGTACAGACAGAGAACCAGAGCTGAACCAACAACAACAACAAGACTACATCAAGGCTGCAGCCAGAACTATCTCCACCTGTGGCATCCAGAACCAAACCAGCATGCTGACATACAGAGAGATACTCTCATCGGTCCCTCAAAAAGGACATGAAGTTCCAAACTGCGCCGCGAGATTTGGCACAATAGACATGAGAGCAGAATCCGCCCTCCATAAAAACAGCAGAGAGACTGTAAAGGAGGAGTGCAACAACAGTGGCATGATGGGGCTGCAGATGTGACTGGGCCAATGGCTGCCTACAAAAGTTACAGTGGATGGATTCAACAGCTGATGGACTGAAGAGAAGACAGAATCAGAGGAGTTGGCATGGTCGATTAGAAGTGAGGAGGCCGGGGTCACGGCTTGAGAAAACCAGGG